TTTTAGGGGCCGCTTGTGCACTCTTTTATTGTAAGCTCTCGTCATTCTCAGATGCTAGATCTCATGGCGCAAGGCTGCATTGCCCTTGCGTTCTGGAAGTGAATCCAATGCTAGTCGCATGGCCTCCCAGTTAGCTTCTTCGTCATAAAGCATGACTCGAAGAGTCGGCTCTTAGTGCTCAATAGGCAGAATAACCTCTGCTCCATAAACCATGAGAAATGGAGTTTCACCAGTCACCCCTTTTTCAGTCGTCCTGATGGCCCATAGAACATGCGATAGCTCGTCAGCCCATAGGCCGCCAGCTTTTTCAATCTTCTTTTTGATGCCATCAGAGTTTAACTTGTTAAAGGCTTCAACCTGGCCGTTTGCTTGGGGGCGACCGACTAATGCAAAACAGTGAGAGATCCCTTGGTCTGCCATTCAGTTCTTGAGAGCAGGCGTTTCAAATTGAGGTCCATTGTCAAAGACCATAGACATGGGTACCCCATACCGAGTGATGACATTTCTCCAAATAAAGGAGATGACATCTTTTGTTTTAATGACTTTGACTGCTTCTGCTTCTACCCACTTGGTGAAGTAGTCGATTGCTACCAAAATATATCTCCGTCCGCCTGTAGCAGGCTTATATGGACCCAGAATGTCCATGCCCCATTTGGCGAATGGTACTGGGCTATGGATAGCCGTCAGGTCAGTGGCCAGACGATAGATGAGCTTGCCAAACCTTTGACACTTGTCACATTTTTTCACCATCTCTATGGCGTGTGCTTCTAGGGTAGGCTAGAAGTAGCCATGCTGCTTGGCTCTCTTTGCTAGGGTCCTGCCGCCTATGTGGGAAGCACAAAACCCTGAATGCAAATCTTCGAGGACCTCTCGGCCCTTTTCTGGGGTAACACACTTCAAAAGTGAATGAAGATAGCCTTTCTTGAAAAGTTCCTCTTTATAAATTTCAAAGTTGGATGCACGCTTTTTCATTATGATCATCTCTGGGTAAGTATCAGGCAGAGTGCCGTCTGTTAAGTATGCCCGCATGCCATCCATCCAGGTTGAGCTTCGATCAAGGACTCCAACGGGTTCCTCTTCGATGCTCCTTTTTTCCATCACTTCCCAGAACACTGATCTTGGTGTGTCATAAGAGGCGGATGATGCTAATTTGAAGAGAGCATCCGCCTGATTGTTCTTAGACCTGGGCACCTGACTTAGATGAAATTCATCAAGTGTCCCAACCTCTTCTTTGACCGCCTGTAAATAGTTGATCATAGCCGGATGTGTGGCTTCATAGTCACCATGGTATTGGCTGACGATCAATTGTGAATCAGAACAGGCGTCCACTTTCTTTGCCCCAGCCGCCTTACACATGCGGATTCCAGTTAGTAGGGCTTCATATTCTGCCTCATTGTTCGAGGCCTGGAACTTAAAACGCAGTGCATATTCATATTTGTCCCCTTCATTGTGGACAAATATGACGCCTGCACCACAACCGTTCATTGTGGAGCTCCCGTCCACATATACCTTCCAGACTTGGTCAGGATTTTGTGGATCAGCCGGCCTAGTCATTTCAACAATGAAGTCGGTAAGTGCCTGCCCCTTCACTGCTTTCCTTGGCTCAAAAGTAATTTCTAGGCTTTGCATTATTTCAATTGCTCATTTAATCATTCGACCGGATGATTCCATGGTTGTTAGTGGCCGCTTGATTGGTTGGTCAGTGTAGACCACGACCGGATGTGCCAAGAAGTAGGGTTTCAGCTTCTTAACTGCCATGAAGAGGGCCAGGCCAAGTTTTTCAGCCATGGGGTACCGTAACTCAGCATTTTTTAGAAAATGGCTGATAAAATAGACGGGGAGCTGGCAGCCATCTCTTTTAGTAAGGAGAACGGCACTGAGAGCTTGATCAGAGACGACCAAGTACATGTATAACACTTCCTTTGACAAAGGGCTGACGAGGCAAATAGTGCAAGTGTTCCTTCAACTTTTGGAAGGCCGCCTCTGCATTCGTCCCCCATTCAAACATAGTCTTCTTCTTGATTGCTTGGAAGAAATAGAGGCACTTGTTGCCTGACCGACTAAGGAATCTCCCCAATACCTCAGGACAACCTGTTAATTTTTGAACTTCCTTTACAGTACAGGGCGATTGCATGTCTATGACCGCCTGTATTTTTTTTGGATCGGCCTCTATCCCCTTTTGATCAATTAGAAATTCGAGGAACTTCCCAGACTCAACACCAAAAACACACTTCTTGGGATTGAGTATGACCTGGTGTCGCCTGAGTGTGGAGAATGTTTCTTGGAGATCTAAAAGATGGTCCGTCTAAAGTTTGGATTTGACTATCATATCAGCAATGTACGCCTCCACATTCCTTCCAATTTGATCAATGAAGACTGTATTAATCATTCTCTAGAAAGTAGCAGGCGCATTCTTCAAACCGAACGCCATCACGGTATAGCAGAATAATCCCCTGATTAGTGACGAAGGCCTTCTTTTCTTGATCTTTTTTCCACAAGGGTATCTGGTGAAAGCCTGAATAGGCGTCTATGAAGCTCATCAAGGCATAGTCGGCTGTAGAGTCGACCAGACTGTCGATCTTTGGGAGAGGATAGCTATCCTTTGGACATGCCTTGTTCAAGTCTGTGTAGTCTGCACACATACGCCAGGTTCCATTCGACTTCTTTACAAGGACAACATTGGCAACCCAATCAGGGAAGTAGCATTGCCGAATGAACCCAGCATCTAACAATTTCTTCACCTCGGCGGCTGCCGCCTGATTTCTTTCTTCACCATGGTTCCTCTTCTTTTGCCTTACCGGCTACTTTTTGGGAGCCACAGCAAACTTGTGGACAACTAGATCCGAGCTGATGCCTGGCATTTCGTCCACCTCATAGGCAAAGATGTCTTTGAATTCTTTTAACAAGTGGTGCAAGTCTGCACCAAGTTCAGAAAAAGCAGCCGTCCCAACCTTAACAGCCTGGTCAGGACGAGAGTCATCCAGGATGATGTCCATGTGTTCACCAGCCGGCTGGGGATGGAGTTCATCCGGCCTTTAACTGGTCAGTGGTTGCTATTGCCTGTCTTTTTTTCTCGGCCACCATTTGGTTGGCCTTTCTCTTCTTGCCGGCTGCTGTTGCAGCAGGCGCGACTTTCTTGACTTGGTCAAGATCAGTAGTTTCTCCACTGGGGCCGGCTGCAACCATAGTGGGCTTGACATCAGAGAGGTAACACTCCCTAGCCATCTTCTGGTCTCCCCCTAGGGAGCTGACTATTCCATCATCTCTCTCAAACTTGAGAAGCATGAGAGACGGAATGATAATAGCCTTGGATTCATTCAGGGTGGGACGCCCCAAAATCATGTTGTAGGCCGTCAGTTCTTCAACAACTAAGAACCGGACCACCATGTGGCGTCCCTCCCCTTTCTCGCCCAGACGAATAGGTAAGTCTATTCGACCTACCGGATGTACCACACCACCCCCAAATCCCACTAAGGGATGAGAGACCTGGTTCATACTCTCGGGCTTGTACCTGAGCTTGGTCAGGCACTTGTGACTGATGAGAACAGACAAAATCCTGGTGTCAATGAGGATTCGGCCAAGTCTTTAGTTGGCCACTTTGCATTCGATGATAATAGGGTCATCATGCGGCCTTCTGATTTTTCCCCTATCATCCTAAGTAACTACAACTTTGGGGAAAGAATCTTTGGACGCCTGTCCCTCGTCGACCGAGTTGATGTAGAGCTGTTTGATGTAGTCCTTGTTACCCTTGATTGTTGGGCCGCCTCCAAAGAAGCCGCCTGCTATTGTATAGATCGGAGTTTCATCAGTATCCGAACTATTAGTAGAGTGGGGCTTCTTTTTGGGCGGCTTCCCAGTGTTAGTTTGTAGGGTAACTTTGGACCTCAGAACATAGGACTTGAGAACCCCTTTGTCAGCCAGGCGATCCAGCAAACGGTTGAGGCTATAACATTCGTTGGTGTTGTGGCCAATGTCCTCATGGTATTGGCAGTATTTGTTTTTGTTCCGAATTTTGGCGGAACCTCTCATGGGGGCCGGCTTCTCAATAGAGACTTGGTCCTTAATCTCCATGAAGATGGAGTAACTATCTTTATTGAAATCGTACTTTGGGAAGTACGTCTTTGCTTCTTTCTTTTTCTTCCAGGATGGCTGTTCAGTAGTATCAGCTACTCAGACTTCTTTTCTTTTCTTTTCTTTTCTTCTTTCTTAGCCGGCTGCGATGGCCGACTCTCTCTCTTGTCTGACCTCTTTGAGTTTGACTGCTTACTGATGTTACAGAGCTCGGTTGCCTGTATATAGGCGTCCGCCTCCATCAGTGCCCCTTGGAGGGTAGCTACTCTCTTTCTGATGAGGTCGAACTTGAAGGTTGACCTGTCCTTCAGGCCTCTGAAAAAGTCTGTATAGGCCACCTCATCAGACAATTCTTGAATCTGAATTTTCATCAGATTAAACCGCCTGATATATGAGCGTAGCCCTTCCTTCTCTCCCTCCTGTATGGCTCCCAAGTCAAGACTTGTTTTCTTTGCAGGAATATTCATTGAGAAGTTTAACGTGAACAAATAGCAAGCGTCTTGAAATTATTGATGCATCTAGCTGGCACGTTGCCGAACCATTGCTAGGCGACGCCCTTCAACGTGGCCGGGAAGCATCTACACCATGTGGCATCGTCCAACCCTTGAAGATACATAAGGTTGGTGTATGCCATTAGGTGGTCTTCTGGGTTGCAGGTACCATCATAAGTGCCTACCAACACATTCTTCACCTTAGCCGGCTGTGCAACCCAGTTATTTTCTTGGAAAAAGCTGAAGGCTGTTCCTCAAGTCTTAGCAGTTGGAGCTGCCAGTCCAAGGGCTGGACATTATGTAACACCCCCAAATCTCCCTCTACGGAATATGTAGAAAATACGTATAAATACCGTAGAGATAGACTGGGGCGTATTACCGCCGCGTGATAACACAAGGCTTATACTTTAAAATACTTTTGCAGCGGAAATTCTTTATTCTTAATAATAAAACTTTAAATAAAACTTGTTCATAATTTGTGACACAAAAACGACTCCAACTTTTCCTAAGCTAGGTGAAATTCTCGTGGACTCCCGTATGCATCAATCAACTTCCACCTGAAACATTCACCTGCTTACCATAAATGGTAAACAGGGCAAAGCCAAAACAAAAGCACGTATTAGCAAATTATGCTAAGTAGATTATGTGTAAGATAAGTAAAACATAATTTAAATCATTTATATTTAATTCATAAGAATTCCAATGCCGTACTCAAGTAAGAGTTTTTCCAATTCAATTCTTTCAAGACAAATTTAAAAACTCAATCGATTACGTTCCAAAACCAATTCCTCACTAAGTGTGCACACCCCCCAAGTGGTTTACTTTATGAACAAAGGCCAATCTTGAGGAAAGGCTAGGTCATGCAAAGTCCATAGCCTTCTCTAATCCATTCCCTAAGTGGGATTCATAACCATATCGATTGATTGCTTAAAAGCACCTTTAAAAAAAAATCCGTTATTCTTGAATATTAAGAAACCTGTAAATCAATTTTAATCCAATCCTTTTTAATAATTTTAATCGCAATTCAAAGCCTCTTTGATTAACCAAAATAATTAATTTCAAGCTATCATATAACACAATTTCATATAGTAAAACATAATTTCATACGGCACATAATTTCATAAGAACTATATTAAAACATAATTTCATAGTCAACTTTTGAAGGTATCAAACCAAATAACGTACCTTAATTCCGAATATCAATCACCACTTCGCACTTTCAAAGTTCAATCACGAATACACCTTGCAATTAACATAACCATACGGTTATCACAACCTCTTTAGACATAAACCCAAATCTAATGTGCATGGACTATAAAACTCTTTTAAAAATAATACTTTAATATAAAATTATAACTGTGAAATAGGTAATTATATTTTAGAAAACTAACCATGAAGAAAATAAAGGAATAGGATTAAAGGAAATTGAATTTGCGTTGGAAAGGATAGGCAGAACTTGCAGAGGTCATAACGCCTTTGATATAACTCCGAATTGGGTGATTCTTGAGCCTAAACTCAATGATTTTTTCAGAGGAATAATTTTTTGTGAAATAGAAAAATCCAAAAACTGACCAAAAGTGCCCGAAAATTGGCTCCAAAGATATACGGGCAGATTTTCTTTTAGAAAAGAGGAAAAGAAAAATAGGAAAAGTTTGAGGGAAAAGAAGAGTAAAAGAAAAGAAGGGAATTGAGTTTTTGGTGTGAAGAATATGAGATTTATGAGGGAGAATTTATAGGTGTTTAGGTGATGAGTTTATAGAAATTTAGGGTTGTATAATTTATGGAAATTTTAAAGAATAGAAATTAGGGTTTTAAATGTATGGAAGGATATTAGATTTTATTTGGTCATTAAATATTATTTAGTAGGTTTTGAGCTTGGAGTGCAAGTATAGAATAAGATCAAGAGATTTTAGATTTAAGAATAGAAATAAGGAATTTTAAAGGATTTTTAATTTTAATAAAAAAAATTAAAACCATTTAGAAAATTCACGAGTGGCCGAAAATATTGAGCTTAATATTGCTCAATATTTTCGGTCCTTCTATGTTAATTTAAGGGTTTTGTAAAATAATTTATTTACCTAAAATTAATAATCCCATAAAATTTATTTGTGAAAATTAATAATTGAAGAATAAAAATAAGATTTTTATTAAATAATTAGGGTGGCCGAAAATATTGACATATAATAATTAATTAAATCAGATTTTTATTGTATAAAATCCGAAAATTAATATATTTCATGAAAATAATTAATTTAGAAAAATATTAAAACAATTTAGATTTTTATTCTATGAAAACTGAAAATACATTTTAATTAATCTACCGAATTAATATAATTTCGGTTTAGCTATTTAAATTTTGAGAAATCAAAAATACTATTTATAAAATAAGTATAAAATAGTTTCATTTATTGGATTATCCAATTTAATTAGTTTTGTAAAATAATGATTTAGGCGCCAAAATTTAAATATCATTTTGGCTCCAAAACTAAAATACTCTTTAGAAAATAATTAATTTAGAATAATACGTCAAAATACGAGACTAAAATACCTTTCAAAAATACGGGGTATTACACATTATGTGTCGCCTGCCCCCCGAAAAGGGTAGGCTGCATATATGGTTTTCCATACGGCATGTATGGCTGTTGAGGCGCATACAGGGCTGCCTGGAACATCTGAGGACAAGAGTGAGCGGACATGCCGCCTGTCTGGTCCTCTCGGTTTGATTGAGAATAACTCATTGAGGTTTGCTGGATTATCATCCGAGCATTGGAATATGTTTTCTTGGAACCATCCGTCTGTACATGCCGGATGACCATCCTCTTCCCTGGCTCAGGGTACCGAAGTCTGGCCAAGTTTATCAAGGGCTTCTGTCCTTCCCATGGTTTAGGGTAAGGAGTGACCTCTCGGTCTTTGACCGACTTATTCCTCCCAGAATGAGAGGGCTTCTTGGCCGAGTGTTCCTTGGTAGGGACAACCGTCTTTTTATCAATAAGATCATTTATCTCCCCTATGAAACTTGTCAGGAGAGTCATGACCTCGTTTCTAGTGATTGGGGTGGATCCTTTAGCCACCTGGAGCTGAACAGTCACTAGGTTTCAGTAAACCTAGGACTGACTGGGCTTTGCCTAGGAATTTGGGTCGTTAGAGGCCAGTTTCCGGGTTGGCTATCTGTCAGCCACGTGTCGTGGCCTAATTGGTCCACCCTGGACCTCTCACAAGGTGACACGTGGTGGTCTCTGGTTGGTCCACGTAGCGGATACGTGGCAGGGATTAAGTGGTCCACGTGGCGAGGAAAGATCCCCTAATCAGCTAGGGCTATAGAGGAGGGTTTAGGGTGGTCAACGCCGTGGAAAGGTGGTTTTGTGGGAGGGGCTAGGGAGGGAGGTGGTTTCTTGGGTGGATTGAGGTAGTCAATGCCGGAAAAAAGGGTCAAACCTCATTTTCCAGCATAAAGGTATGACTTCGCAAAATTTTTTTTGATTAAGGTATGATTTCGGAAAAAAAAAACATTAAAAGGAGTTTTTTTTTAAAAAATGTTTATAAAAGGAGGTTTTTTTTTTTTTTCAAAATTTCCTTAAAATTTAGGAAAATTTGATTTGAATAATCCAACCTTTACGCGATTTATTTTAAATAATCTAACCTTTTGATTATACATGAATAATCCAAACTTTATATCTCAATTTATTTATCAGGCCAAACCGGTCACCAACCTACAACACTAGGTTATCTTGCCACGACGTGTCGCGTTTTGATTCGTCTAAACATATATATTTTTATTTTAAAATTTTTTAAATCTTAATTTTTTTTTTTACTTTTAAAAAAACTGATTTTTTTTTTCCAATTTGTCCCTTCATTAAATCCAGCCACCATGGCCCTCACCACCTTCTTCCCGGCCATCCTGCCTTTCTGGGCACAACCCACCTGAAACCGGCCACAAACCCACCTCGAAACCAGACACCCCCAAAACCCCACCGTTGAAACCGGTACACCCCGAAACCCCCACCACACACCGACACCGCCCAAAACCATCTCCCCTCTCACCGACACCGTTCGAAATTCCCTCCCCTTACACTAGCGTAACGCGCAACCCTCTCCCCTATCACGCTACTACCCTCCTCCGGCAGCAATTGCTAGCAGCCGCAATAGATCGTCCCCGTTGCTCCCTCACTAGCGCCACCAATTGCACTCCATTTTACAACCCCTCGCGCAGCCCACACATTGCGGGGTTGGGTGGTTGACGGGGAGATCGAGCAGGAAGGCAGAGAGGAAAGGGAAGGGCGGGAAGAGTACATGGGTGGCAGAGGGGAAGTGGAGGATGGCTAGGAGGAGGAGAGAGAAAGAGTTTTTATTTTTATTATTTTTCCTTTATTTTTTATAAATTGAAAAGAAAAGAAAAAAAATTTACTTGAAAAACAGGTAATTGGAATAGGATATAAAGCTTGGATTATTCATGTATAATCAAAAGGTCGGATTATTAAAAATAAATCGCGTAAAGGTTGGATTATTCAAATTAAATTTTACTATAATTTATATATAGTAATTATAAAAGTTATTAACGACTGAAGTAACGCATTGATAAGTGTATAATGAGAATTGTTGCATTTAAAATAATTCAGAGAAGTATATATATACTGTACATATTTTTATTGTCATTTTACTTGCAATGACTAAACCGTTTTTATGTTAATATACAGCGGCGGACTGGGCCTTGTGCCTGGTGGGTCAAATGACTCACCAGGGCCCAAAAAAAATTTTAAGTTTTTTTTAAAAAAAAAAAATAAAAAAAAAAATCTAACTTCAAGTCCCGACACTTCCTCAAGCCCTAGCCCACTGCCTCCTCAGCTGCTCTTCCCTCTTCGCCTCTTGACTTCCTCTTCGCTTCATCTTCACCAGACTGCCTCCACCCAGCCACCCTCCAGTCGCCTGCTCTGCCTCTGCTGCTTGCCTGCTTGATGCTTTCCTGCTCCGTCTCCGTGGTCACTGCTCTTCGCAATCGCTTCGACGCAATTGCTAATTCACTAGTAAGTTGATTTCTAATTTTTATTTTTAATTTCTTATCTTCAATTTAATTCAGTCTAATTAGTTAATTTTATTAAACTTTGGTTTAAAATTTGGTTGATTTGTAGTTAACGCTTCCTCTTCGCTCATCGGCTCACGCCTCGTCGCCTCCAGTGCTGGCCCTGCTGCTGGCCCTGCTGCTCCGCCTACTCGCCTCAATCAGCGTCTGCCGTCTGGCAAGGTAATCATCAATTTATTCTTTTTTTTTTTTTTTTTTTTGTGAATTTCTGTTCAAATTTGCATTACTTGTTGCTTAAAATTAGTATATACGATGAATGTTCATTGAATTTGCATTATTTGTGTTTTGACTGTTAAATTGAACTTATTAGTTTATGTGATGCCGGACATTGTATAAGACAGCTATTAGTGTAAGGAGGATTATAAATTTATAATTAGATTACAGTGTGGACTGGTTAGTGGTGCTAGTCGCATATTCGGCTGGAAGTTCCGTATAGACTAGGCGGATTCAGAAATTGTAAAACATTGTGTCTGAATTGTGGTTACATAAACCTTAAATCATTCTTAAGTTTTTTCTTGTGATTGTTGCTGTAAATTGTTTAAACTGTTATTACACGGAGAACAATAGTTAGGGTGTTTATTAGCTTGTTAGTTATTAGTTTGTTAATTTTAGTCTTGTAATTTCAGAATGAAGAGAAAATGCATTCCAAGATCCAGGAAAGAGGAGTAAGATGAGTGAATTTCATAAAGATGATAGAGATTTAGTGAGAAGAATTTACATTCAAAGAAAGCCTTGTCAGCCCAAAGACTTTGTATTTCCTCAAACTTCTATTTTTGGCAAAAACCGTCGCTTTTGTGCTAAGTGGTTTGGTACTTGGACTTGGCTTGAGTATAGTGTGGAAAAGGATGCTGCCTATTGGTTGTATTTTGTATTGTTTGAATATTTGGATGTATTTTTTAGTACTATTATTTGGTTGTTTGGTAAAATTTTTTTTTTACATATTTGATTATCGATTGTGACTGACCAGTCGGAAATTCCTGGGTCCGCCACTGTTAATATATAATCATTCATAGGGAATTTCGGGAAATAGATATGAAAGATCGAAGTGGAAGATTGATGAAGTATAACCCAAACACGATACGTGTGACCGTGTTAGTTAGAGGTTTATCATTCGCAAACGGAGTAGGTTTGAGCAAGAACAAAGACTTCATATTTGTTGCGGAAACAACTCTATATCAAGTGCTAAGGTACTGGCTAACCAGTCCAAAAGCCGGAATAACCGAAGTGTTTATGAAACTTACAGGACGACCAGATATCATCAATCGAAACGCTTATGGAGATTTTTGGATCGCGCAAAACCCGACTAAACCTATTAAAATCAACGAGGGTGGAATGATACTAGAAAGTTTACATACAAATGATATAGTAGATTGTAGTGATGTGAATGAAATTCACAATAAGTTGTGGATAGGTTCTGTTATTCAAAAATATATTATCTACACTAGCTAAATATTGTTTGTAAGCCTACTTTTGGGTTATATATAGAAAAAAAAATGTTTGTAAAATTGCATTCGTAAACTTTTAAATAAAACAGGGCAGCTAATGTGCGCATCGTACGTCATAGCTATTCATACACGGAATTACTTTCGGTTTGGCCTTAAATCACAAATTTAGTTGTTGATATGTAAACAATTATGTTTAGAGGTATAAATATCCAACGCAAATAACATTAATGATAGAAAATAAGTAAATAAATATTTTTGAGGTTATAATTGTCCAAACACTATTCATTAATTAAAAATTGTACATGTTAATGAGGGTATATATGTAAATACATATTTTGAAGGGTACAACTGGCATCACACTATTCATAAGAGTAATCTTATACCAGAATATTTTATAAGGTAGGGATTAGATATTGTATTAGGGTTGTAAAGTTAGTGTAAAAAATTCAAAAGTTGTCCTCACATAAATCTAATATACTCCTGACCAAGTAATTCCGATCACACGGTGTGACCAACCACATATAAAACTTTGTGAAATAAAATATTATCTTTTTACATTACGAATTTTATCTAAATATGAGAAACAAAATTAATAATTCATTTTATAATAAAAAAAATTCAAGAATTAAGCAAGCGAATATCACAAAGTTTATTACATAAATGTATATTTAGTAAACTATTATATTTGAAAAAATACAAACAAATCGTACATTGCACGGGTTTCATCCAGTAAGCAATAATTACCTAAGAAGTATTTGTTATTGATAAAGTTGCTCTTTTTAAAGGAATTAAAATCAAATCCTATTATTGAAAAGGTAAAAACACCAAAGTGGAAATATTGATAACGTAGAGAATCAAAGTGGTACTTCTCTGTCCCAGAATCAACTTTGCACACATGCTAATGCACTAGTTTGACTTTATTTTTATATAATTAAATATTAATGAAAATTATTTAAAAAATTTATTATAAAACTTTATAATTATCCCTATCTAACAACATATTTTATAATCCTTTTAAAAAAAAACAACATATTTTATAATAAAATATATTTTTATTATGTTAGTTAAAGATTATGGTCAAAACTAATACATAAATAGTGAAAAAAGTCCAATGTCCCAAATATTTTGCGACGGAAGGAGTATTATTAAAAACACATGCCACCAAAGTAGAATTATTGAAAACACGAGGCACCAAAGTGGAATTATGTCAAACCTCATAACACTAAGTCGGAAACTTTCCTATTTTAAGTTTTTAAATAGTGTAGCTTTTTTTTTTCTTCATTTTTTTTGTTATAAATTTATTTTATATATTATTATATTATACGGTGATTGATACATGTCATTTAATATGTTAAACTAGTACAGTGTCCGTGCGATGCACGGTTTAAAAAATATTTATTTTGTTGATAATTTAAAATAAATTTAAATATTAAGTATTAGTGGACTTTAGTATATTAATAAATGCATCATTACATGTTATATGTGTAATTTACAATAATGGCCAACACAAAAATTATGGAACGGATTTTCAATTAACATTATATAGGCGGAGTTAATTTTAGAAGGAGTCGGATCAAATTTATCATAAACACCTCAAATTAGTAAAAGCCTTACTAAAAAAAACTCTATATATAGGTTTTACAGAAAAAAAAAAATCAATTATATAAGGCTATGGAAAATGATTAGTTATTACAGAAGGCTTATGTAAAATTTGACTAAAATTCACTAAAATATGACTCATATACTCAAAAAAAAAAATATTAATAGTACATTATTAAGATAATTTTTCTATTAGAGTATCAGTTACTTGAATTAAATATGTGCTTACACCTTACTCATAAAAGTGTAGGTTTGAACTAAAAATATTATGATTGAAAAAAAAAAAGATAAGTACATATTCATGCAACTTTTATGTATGATTAATGCCAACAATATATAGATGAAATATGTATACATTTGATATATCAATTGTAAATATAATATTGAGTTATCAAAGTTTTTATGGTTGACTAATTTAAACAATCAATCTATGTTTAATTTGATATATAATGTATGCGATAAATTAGTTCATTTTATTATTATATTATAATATGATCTAGTACTATAAAGTCTATTATAATCTTTTATTTTTAGTTATATCTATAAATACATAGTGAACAAAAAAATATATAGAATGACTAAGAATATCTTTCATTACTAATTTTTTTTTTTTTTTTTTTTTTTTTTTTTTTTGGAAATAAGTTTTGGAGGGAAAAAAACCTACACCAAGAAGTAACACGTGTCATTCCTGGTGTCTGTTTTAGTATTATGTTATTGCCAGATAGGCTATCAATAGGTCATAACCTGTTTAAAGCGGATAGTTGAAAGGTTGACTTATTTTCAATGGACATCCAAATGTTGTACTGTTTTTGACAGACTTTCCAAAAACAATTTAGATCCAAGTGAAGACAAAGTGAAACACTTACACAAACGCAAAAGACAATACAATTTCTCCACTCTGTATGAACATGAATTGTGTAGAATATTTTGTATTTCAGGAATATCAAATTTCCTTCAACATACTAGAACGTCTAGAAGGTCTAATACTAGAGAGCATCGAGATGTTGTAAAGTAAGGAATGGAAGCAAATTAAAGCATTAAGTAAACAAATAAAAGGATGCAAATCATTACTTATGGGATCAATTTGAAGAACAGTTCAGGCTCAAGTTTTTGTTGCATCAGTAAAGCCATCCTTTCCGACATGTCGGGTGTAAACTGATCGTCTTTGGTCCAATCCCACACTTTCACAGCCTTGTTATCTTCAAAGCTACACAAGTCTATAATTTGTTGTATGATACCATCATTTTCTTCTTGGGAAGAAAATGGCATTCCTACAAACTCAGCCAACATCTTCAGTTGAATTGTGAGCTCGGTTTTCAGATTCTCGTACTGCAGGAACAATACCTTGTCTGTTCTCTCTGTACTAGCCTCCCAATACTGACGAACGTGCTCAAAGAAAGGGCAAGGAACAAATTTCCCCTCACTAAAATCTTGGTAGCAATCCTCCAGAGTAGGGGGTATATAATCATCTCCCTTGGCCTTCTTAGCGTAGTCTATGAAGAAGTAATAGAATGAGACAAGCATGTCATAAGAGTTTCTACAAAGGTACAAAATCCGACACCCTGAAGTTTTGATAGATTCGGGAAGGGATGTGTAAGGGACAGCAGTGTTAAGGAGCCTGGGTGACGGAAGCTCATTAAGATGTGTAAAGGATGATATGGTTGGTGGTAAGAAGTCTACGCTGTGTACAAGCTGATCTCCATGAAGATGGGAGTGTAAAGGGATTTGATCAACACTTGGATAATTTATACGATTAACAACAGCGAAAAGCAGACATTTTAACCAACCTGTACCTGTTTTCGCAGGGCTAATAAAGAAGATATCAGTGTCTCGAGCAGCAAAGTGTTTTTGAAAGGTGATGGCATTTCTTAATGTAGGAATTTCATCTTCATCGTAGTAGTAGAAACCTTGATACTTGATCATTTGAAAATCCGAGCCCCTTAAGGGAACTTTCGGAAGGCTTTCTATCAGTTTCTGAACTTCTTTGTCTTCCTACTTTGTTTGATTCAGGTTCATATTGTAGATTATACACTTTTCTTGTTACTTTTCTATTGTACTTCGTTGGTAGCTGAAGCACGTAGAGTTCTTAGTTTATATACAGATATTGTTCACTAAAAAATAAGAAGTTGCCAATTTGCTATACAAGCTAAATCAAACGCACGCAATAATAGAGCATTAACAAACAAATCAAATAAAGGCAGTCAAAGAATGAATTAAAGCAGCAGCTTGTTTTGTTAGTATAAGTCTGCAGCAGCCCAACTGCTACATATTAAAAGAAGTAAGCCCCCAACAAAGACGATGTTTGGGTCCAAGTAATTTCAATTGGGCCGGTCCAAGTGTTCTAATTACAAAAGCCTAAAAGCAAGGTTCAACTCTCCAGTCCAAATGCCAAGTTAGTCAATGGTCCAGTCAACGTGGCAAGCCCACTTGATTTCAAGGCCCATTCATCTATTGAGCTAAGGTATAAAAGCCTTCAACTGTCTTTCTTTACATTCATGCACACAAAGCCTCAAGCAATCAACTCTCTTGCATAACTTTCTCTCAAAACACTGTACTGACTTAAGCATCGGAGGGGCCTTCCTCGGCACAACCCCCGAGGCTAGTTTACGTGTGTTTGTTGTGTAGGAAACCCTCGGCCCAGTCATAACTTGGACCGAGATCAGTCTTCTCCCACCGAAAAGGACCAGCCGAAGGTCCTATTGTTTTCAACCGAAACAATTTGGCGCCGTCTGTGGGGAAGACATTTAAAAAACAAGCCAAAAATCAACCAATCTTAGCAAAAATAACTAAGAGTGGTAAAAGTGCCAGGAGTACTAAAAGGAACGACCCTTCCTCCTCGAGGAGAGGTCCAATTACGGTGAGGAGGAATCCACCTGCTCCACCATCACCGGAACCTACTTCTTCTTCTTCGAAAGCTCCCTCTTCCCCGGAAAGGGTAGCGTTGGAGAATTCATTATCCCATCATACTCGCCAGCCGACCAGCTCATATCGGCCGAAGCAGTCCAACGCTAAGAGTCCCTCTCGAAGCTTCCATTCTCGGTTTCAACCGAGAACAACTCCTCAAACGGGGCCCTCTACGGAGGAAGTTGCGCGAGCCGTAGCGGTCTTCATGGACCTCATGATGGCCCAAGGAGGCAGCTTTCCACAACCCCGTGATCACTCGCCTCTTCCGTCGAGAAATTTGAGAAGGAGGACCTGCCAAGAGGAAAGTGGACGGACTCCACCCTTTAAGGAGCTCGGGGATAAGTGGGAAGAGGACACTTGAATGACAGAGCGGGAAAGGAAAAAGAATCCCCAGTTCTTTGAAAATTCCGAAACCCGGAAATCCCAGAGCTACAAAAGCAGCAATACCACCTCTGCGTGGCAAGAGCCTGCTCGCCTAAAAGTTCATGAACGTCTTGGCTCAAGGGAGGTGAGCGTGCATAGTCGCCTCACCTATCCTAAGGGAACTGAGCCCTATCCCGAGTCGTCACAGCCAGGGAAAAAAGACAGTTCCACCTCTCTGAGAGGGAGAAACGAGGTCCTATCGGCTAGACACAAAGGAAAGGTCGTGATGGTGCCCACTAGCTCACCCTTCCAAAACTGGATTTTTGAAGAGCATGTGCTAATAGTAAAAATCCCGGCGCACATAACTTATGATGGTACTTCGGATCCAAAGGACTACATTGCCTCTTACGAGGGGCACATATACTTGACCCTAGGTCCGAAGTGACCCGGTGTAAATATTTCTCCACCACTCTCAAGGGTGTTGCACAAGCGTGGATCACCAAGGGAGTAAAGGAAGGCTCAATAACCGGTTGGAAAGACCTTTCCAGTAAATTAAAAAGCAAGTTTTCTAAGGCGATCCGCCGAGAGAAAATGACTGCAGAACTGATGGGTCTGCAACAAGGGGAGGACGAGAGCCTCCGAGACTATTTGACTCGCTTCAGCAACGACTTGTCTAGAATTACAAGTTTGGATCAAGGGCTAGCCGTTTTTGCATTGCGGAACGACCTGCAAGCTGGAAAGTTCCTTGACTTCATGGTCATGCATCCACTGCAGACCTTGGAGGAAGCTCTAGATGCCTCGGATAAATACATACGGGTCGAAGAATGGAACAAAACTAAATCCCAGTCTCAATGCGAGACTGGGAAGGCAAAAGGATAGCAGTCCGAAGGCCAGGACCAGAGGAAAGGGAAGGCAAAAGCCTCGGAACCGTCCTCTGCTCCTGAGCCGAAGAAAGAAAAAAATTCCATTCATGGGGAGATATGAATCATACACTCCTCTCGCTCTTCCACGTGCTAAAATCTACAACATAACTAAGGATGAGAGGAGATACAAAAAGCCGAGGTCACTACCATCGTGGCATCAGCAGAAATACAAGGATCGATGGTGTGAATTCCACGAATCTCCTGGGCATCACACCGAGGACTGTATCCAACTGAGGGATCAGATTGAGGATATGGTCCAAAAAGGTTACTTGAAAAAATATCTCGCGGACCGTCGCGAAGAAAAAAGAGCCGAGAAAGATTCTCGACAAGAACTAAATTTCCCTCGGAAAAAGGACAAGCCGCAAGGAAAAGACAATCCTAATATCCTTGTCATTTTCGGAGGAATATACTCTCGGAAAGCACTAAAACGCCACTTGAGGGGCTTGGCCCATCTAGTAAATCATGCTGACATCCAAGCACCCCAGTCTCAGGTGCCGAACTTCACGTTCACATCCAAAGACTGCCGGGGGTTGGCATACCCCCATGATGACCCGTTGGTAATTGTTACGGGCATTGCAAACCACAACGTCTGGCGAACTCTCGTCGACGGTGGAAGTGGCGCGAATATCCTCTTCTGGGGAGCATTCGACCAGCTGAAGTTAGAGACCAAGCACCTGACTCCAGTACCTTACCCGGTATCTGGATTCAATGGTTCTTTAACATATCCTGATGGGAAAATTTCTCTTCCTGTCACCATCGGCAAAGGCCGAGCAGCCCAGAATATCATGGCCGAGTTTTTGATCGTTGACGTTCCATCTGTGTACAACGTGATTATGGGGAGACCCACAATTCACGAGATCCAAGGAGTCATCTCGACGTACCATCAGATGATGATATATGTCTCGGACGAGGGACGCTCCGAAAGAATTCAAGGCAGACAAAAGGAGCCTCCGAAGATGTAACTAGCTCAAGCCATTCAAAAGTCGCCACGACTATAGGGATGATGAGGAAGAAAGAGAAAAGGACCGATGCACAAAGAAGCCTAAAGGCTTAAGTGCTTCGGCCCAAGGCACCCCAACGCAAGAAAAATCTTTGGGGAAAGGAAAATCTAGTTCTTCATATGAGCCGAAAGACTCAAAACACCAGCCGAAGTCTGGGAAGCCTGCTGATATTGACAGCAGGCCAGATTGTGAAGAGTCCAGTGCCAAAGCTATGGAACTGGACCATCAGACTGAACCAATAGAGTTGATCGAAGGGGATACTTAAAAATGTGTCAACATCGGGCTCGGACTTGATCCGAGCGTCGGCGTTGAACTTATCCAACTCCTTCGGGACAACAAAGATGTGTTCGATTTCTCGGCAGCAGACATGCCCGGCATTGACCCGAACCTCATCTCCCACAAGCTTAATGTCCATCGGTTAAGCAAAAGAAGCGGAATTACTCCGCAAATATGAACAAAGATATCGCAGCCGAGATCAAAAAACTTCTGGATGCAGGTTTCATTGAACCCTGCCAATACCCAGAATCGTTGGCCAATGTGGTGATGGTTCCAAAGGCGAATGTCACCTAGAGAATGTGCGTTGACTTCACGGACCTAAATAGGGCATGTCCGAAGGACTTTTATCCCTTGCCAAGGATCGATCAGCTAGTCGACTCGATAAGCGGACATGCCCTGCATAGTTTCATGGACGCATTCTCGCGGTATCATCTGATCTTCATGTATCCCGACGACCGAGCAAAAACGGCCTTCGTTACAAGCGTCGGGGTGTATAATTATAAAATGATGCCCTTCGGATTGAAAAATGCGGGGGCAACATATCAAAGGCTGGTTGATCAGGTATTCGCCAAGCAAAAAAGCCGTAACATGGAAGTCTATGTTGACGAATTTATCGTCAAAAGAAAAAAGGACAAAGACCATGTCAAGGACCTGGCCGAAACCTTCACCACCCTTGGAAGAATCAAATGAAGCTGAATCCGAAGAAGTGTGTCTTCGGCGTGAAGTCAGGTAAGTTCCTCGGCTTCATGTTCAGCAAAAGAGGGATTGATGTCAATCCCGCCAAAGTGCAGGCAGCACTTGATCTTCCCGAACCAAGAACAAAGAGGGACGTTCAGTGTCTCACCGGGAGAATGGCTGCCTGTCTAGGTTCATCTCCAGAGCCTCGGACAAAGGGTTACCCTTCTTCAAGGCGCTGAAACTTCCAAAAACCAAAGAGCTCATTTGGGAAGACGAGCAAAAAGAAGCCTTTAAGCAACTCCTTGAACATTTGGCTCAACTCCAGACGCTGGCATGCCCAGTCGAAGGAGAAACTTTGTACTTATATGTGGCAGTTAGCCAGGCCACTATAAGCGCGGTTTTTCTGAGGGAAGAAGAAAAAGTTTAGCAGCCGATCTACTTCGTCAGTCACACTCTGACGGATGCCAAGACTCGCTATCCCCTACTCAAAAAAGTTTCCTATGTAGTAGTGGTAGTCGCTCGGAAGCTGAGGCCCTATTTCGATTGCCATCAAATAGTGGTCTTAATTGATCAGCCGCCGGAAAAAGTCCTCGGTAAAGTCGAGAAATCTGGTAAGCTTGCGAAGTGGGCCTTCGAGTTCACTGAGTTCAACATCAGCTACCAGCCGAGAGCAGCCATTAAGGCTCAGGCCTTGGCAGACTTCCTGCCCGAGTGTTCTTATCAAGAGACACTAGACAAGGAAAAGAAAGTGTGGACTGTTTTCACGGACGAATCCCCC